GTATTTCTTCACAAGACCTTCAACATATTCAACTGAAGTTCTGTGTCACATGAAATGTAAACATGCACATTACACTACAATATTTCACTGAAATGCTGAGATATATGAAATGTATTTCTTCACAAGACCTTCAACATATTCAACTGAAGTACTGTGTCACATGAAATGTAAACATGCACATTACACTACAATATTTCACTGAAATGCTGAGATATATGAAATGTATTTCTTCACAAGACCTTCAACATATTCAACTGAAGTTCTGTGTCACATGAAATGTAAACATTATGCTGAAATACTAGAACGCACAGCTTTCAGTATATTCCTCTAAAATGCTACATAACAAGATACGTCATATTCTATTGAAGTATTCTATCATAGATCTTCAGCGTATTCCAAGGAGATAACACCATATGCTACAGATTCTACTGGAGTACTATGACACTTCATTTTTCAACATGTTTCATTAATGTAACGTGCTACATCATCTTCAACATATTTAAAAGAAGTGTTGTGACCCATGACCTGATTCATTTTTCACTTAAATCGTTTGTCCAGCAGTCTTCTGCTAAGTTGAATAGGTCCTTCATCTGTGACCCTCAGTGGTTCAGCGGTGAGTCCTTATAACTTTAAAAATTGGATTTCGATACCCGTGGTGGGTACAACAAAGATAGCCCATTGTATAGCTTTGTGCTTAACTACAAATAAACAAACTTTTACCTGTGATGTGTAGGCTAAAGAACTCCTTTAATAGTCATTTACATTCTTCTGTCGAATGTGCAGTGAAGCCAAATTAAGTACTTCAAAATCCTATATCTCGTTTCTATATGTTCATTCTGTTGATATATTCATTGAAACGTGCACGTATAATGCTAGATAGAGCTACGTAAGTGTATCAAGAATGGTCTATAAACCTACATGAAAAGGAGACATCAATACCGTTGTCCACATCTTTTACCAATAACTCAGTGAAGCATAGATACGAATCACGTTGTTTTTATTAAAAACACTATTTGACACTATTATTAAGATCTGATGAATAATTGAACAGTTGAAAGGTAAATATTAATTGAGAAAAATACGCTTACACATTTACCACAGATTTACATAGTACACTAGAGTGGTATGGGTATTCTCTTTAGCATTTCCTGTTATTTTCTTGAACAAACTCAGTTGTCACAAGAAGAAACTTTTTAAACATATAGAAATTAAACATTCAGAAATCTTAACGTTTAGTGACAAATTGATTGTTGTTGTTTTTTTATAAAACGTTTGTTCTTTAGTGAATAAATTCATACAGTTGAAGAATTTCTGCTATTTGGCCTGTTGGCTATTTTAAAATCAATTACTTAAGTTTAAAATTGTATTTTTGTCTTGTAAATAATGGAGGACTAGCCTACGGGATCTGTAATATAATGAACACAGTTTTACCTAGATATGGCCTAAAGATAATATACAGGTGTTTCATGAATATTTTAGGAATTTGAATTTTAAAACTGAATGGCATCTTATGCAGACGTGGGGTAAATGACCGGTCAACAGACTCCACTGAAATGCTGTTTTATATGAAATATAGCACACTCTAAAGTAGTGTGTCACAATATTTTAACATATTCTGCACAAGTTCCGAGTTATATGAAATATAACACACCTTACTGAAGTAATTAGTCACAAGATCTTCAATATATTTAACTGAGGTTCTGTGTTACTTGAAATATACTAGGGTTCAGTTTAGCCACCCCTACATTTTAGCCACTGACCACAAGGAAAGTAAGCCAACCAGCATCACACACACACACCCCTGTGGGATTTGTCTTCCCTATGGAACAGAATAACAGGAGAGCTGTCGCTTTTATAACACGTCCAATACTGAAAGTTCAGGACATGCTCAATGGTATCATGTCTCGAGCCCTTGACCCTTCGATTTATAGTCGACACGCTGACCACTTTGCTACACCTGCCTCGAAAGGCATTTAGATATGTTTATATGACGCAGACCTTGCGAACTTTTCGTTTGACTCATATTCATAGTTAATGTGCTAGCTATTTTCATTTAGAAGTATAGCAAAAAACTTATAGGTCACAGGGTGTAGCCAACCTACATCTCTTACTTCTAAATATCTCCAATTTGGCATTCTACACTGTCAGATTAGAGTATTTAAAAAATAACATGATACGATTTAATAGCTCTGTCAGACCAGCTGGTCTGTAAATTTCTGGTAGTTACTAAGAAAAGCACGTCGCCAGTGGCTAAAGACAGAGATATTTACAACATTATTATATCTTAACGTTAAACCAGCTTTCTTGCAATTTTGAGATATTCAGTGATAAAGACCAAATGTTTCATCAGTTGCTTACGTCAAACATGAGGTGTTTACTTTGTTAATGTTTCCATGAAAATCTCTTACTTGGATTTTAGTGCTTGTTAATTAATCACTGATAGTTTATCACACTCTATGACCTAACAGGTTTTTATAACACGCCAGATTCATGAAAACATATACATTAATCACATTGCTGGTTTTCTTCTAAAATACAATATAAATGTTAAATACAATAGATGCTGAACTTTTTCAATGAGTCGAAAATCATAAGCATTAATGGTTCTGTAACATAATTAGTAAATCACGAAACCAAAGTAGAAACACCTTATGAATTATTTTGAATTAAGCCTTCTTGACTATATGTTTTCAACTCAGGTAATACAACACTTATTGGAAAGTAAGCACAGAATCTTAGGCTAAGCAAAGACATCATGAAGACGTGTATGCCCAACTTATATACAGAAGCTGTAAATAATACAATATTTTTGTTAGGAACAACACGAAGTCAGTACAAGTCCTTAATATAAAGTTTGCAAGCCAGCGCCATCTATAAAGAAATATTATACAGATCGCAACATTTTGTTTGTTTAATGAATAGGCAATAAGAAATTTAGCCTAGCAACAGTTGCAATATGATAATTGAATAATTTCATTTAATAAATGTTAATGTGGAGCAAAATCCGTTCGCTTGTTTATTAAATTAATTTTCTTACCAACATTATAACATAAAATATTTTGTATATCTTTGGCAAGTATACATTTTGTAAATTTCAAAGATTTATTTTAAGAATATTTTAAATTAATAAGGTACTACTTCCAAAATTATACAAGAAGATTATCTGTTACGTGATATTTTAGACTTTGTTAGTCTTTCTTTATTATTTTTACAAGTTTAGTTCGCAAAATAACACTAAATCAGTACAAATTAAATCAGTCTTGAACATGATATGGCTATCGGTCTATATAGTCAGCAGAAAAGCTTTTCCTTGCCAACTAGGATCTTGAACCGAAAATATTAAATTGGTAATCAGTAAACTACTTGTCAAAAATTTTGAAAATCAAGATATACACACACAGAGAGACATTTATCTGTGTGTGTGTGAATATCCTGAGATTAAACAGAGTATTTACAGAATGTACACATACAATTTAAACACCAATAGAAGTGAGGCACAAATCTTATTAACGGTGAACTACTGTTAGCCTGCCATATCAGGGGGAGTAGGGATTATTGGGTTCACACTGCGGTTACCGAAGTATTTTTTTACTTCATGATTTAAATCATATTTAGCCAAGAATACAATATTAACGATTCTTGTTTTCTTTTCTGTGTATTCTACAGTTACAGAAGATGTTGCTACGTACTGAATACTTGTATTCTTAATTCTGAAATTTTATAACATTAAGGTTAGACATTCAATTCGATTACATCAGACTATTATTTCATTAATTTCACAAGTTTTTTTCCATCTCTTCTATTTTCTTCCATTCTCACAGTTCCTTGCTTCCTCTAACACAGAGCTGATTCCGAAATGGGATTAATCCCAATAAAGATCTCCGTAAAAAGCAGAACTAAAAGCTGCCACCAAAACCACTGGTAGTGATCCTTGAATAAGATGCTGGGGAAATCCAGAAGTATCTGAGAATTTGAAAGATAAAATAAAATAAATTCATTTTGACTAGAAGAGAATATAAGATATCAAAATTTAATACTCCACGAAAAGGTGATTCTTAAAGGCAATATAACAATTCAATTTAGTACTTGACGGCATACTTTTCATAATTGCTACCTAAAGTCGTAACATGGTAACTGAATGATTAAATGATATTACTAGGATTTTTTAAACACGTTAAAACTGTACACTGAATAGTAGGGACGGAGGGAAAGTCTAAGTAAGATCATTTAAGCATGCCTTCCCTATTAGGAATTGCTAGAGACACATTACTTGAACTAACTGACACTTAGTTTGTTGAATATATTGTTTTTCTGTTTCATTTAGAGTGTTAAATAAGGGCTGGAATTGTATAATTTATTTAAAACATCAAATAAGGGTAAGCAAATTGAAATTTTTAGGGGTATTAGATAAATATAGAGGATTGTATATACTTTACTTTGGGCACGAAAGTATGAAAGTGGATTTGGTGTACGCTTTATTTTGGGAATTAGGTAAATGCAGGGATTTAGTGTAAGCATTATTAGATAACACTAACAAGATGTGTATATTTTTATTTCGGGGTATTAGATAAAAAACAGGAATATTTAATGTTTCTTTATTTAGAGGATTAGACAAATGCAGTAGGATTTGATGTTTTTGTGTTTTCTAGATAAGGACAGAAAGATTGGTGTATATTTTGTTTGGGGTATTAGATTAAAACGATGAGATATGGCTAGCCTAATCACGGCACTTATTTCGAACTTTGTAATTGAAATTGGATATTAAACTGTAAAACGATTTTATGTTTGAAATTGACAGAAAGATTTAGTTGGTTTTTCTATTGAAACTTGTAATGGGAAATATGAGTTTTATGGATTAATTTAAACAACTTTAATCGAGCATTCAAACCAAAAAAACTAAAATCAAAATTAAAATATTCGTATAGATTACACGGTGCACTCGCGAACATCAGAGACAACTATCCACGCATCATTTACTAGTCTAAAATTTACAGCTAGCAAGTCTAATCTTCAAATATCATAGTTTAATTTCTTCACTTAGCCAAGAGAATAAATGCTTATCTCACTAGCAACGTATCAAATGAAGGGTTAGAAAATTAAAATTATTTTTGACAAACTTCTTATGTCAAACTTCATTTTATAGCATTTTATACTGAATCTGTAGAAAGATAAAAAAATATAAACAAAACATGTATTTCTACTTGTTAAACTCTGGTCAATATATATGCGATTTCAGATTAAGTCACTTTCGTGAAAGAAAATTTAAAACTCTTAAAAATTCACTATTCCGACCAGCCCAGTTTACTATATCAAATTGCTCTTTTGACATATCTCAATTTTCATTTAAAGTGCACAGTAAAATGAGATATATATGTATGTGTGTTAAATTTCGTACAAAGCTATTCGAGGGATATCCGCGCTAGCCGTCCCTAATTTAGAAAGGATAAACTAGATGGAAGGCAGCTAGTTAATACCACCCACTGACAACTCTTGAGCTACTCTTTACCAACAAAAAGTGAGATTGATCGTCATATTATAACGCCTACACGGCTTTAAAGGTGAACATGTTTGGTGACGGGATTCAGACCCGCGACCAGCAGCGTGTGAGTCGAGCATCCTAATCACTAAGCCATGACAGGCCAACCAGAGAGTAAAAATAGAGACGAATCAAATTGCTCTTTATAAGAAAATTAGATAACTTAAAAAACAATTATTTAAAATACTACAAAGAACATAAGCTGAGAGTAGATTTTTTTTCAATTTTTTAAATCATACATCGAAAGCTGTCCGTGGTCTATAAAGCCCAAATGTCAGTTGGTGATTTTGAAAATATTGTTTCGATAATAGTTTCAATATTAAGTTAGACTACAGTTCAAAATAGATATTTAGTTTCAGTTGAAAATATTCCAAAAAAATATCTTTATTTTTATCTTCATGTGCAATTTTTTTGTAATCATTTAGCAATTGTTTGTTTGTTTCAGGATGTTTGTGCAATGTTGCACACAGGGCTATCTGCGCATAGCCTTTCCGAGTTTTAAACTGATATGCTAGAGGAAAGGTAAATAGTCAGACGTGTCCATCTTCAGCTTTGGGTTAATTTTATTTGACTTTCATATCTCACCCACAGCCCCAAAGTGCGGAGATGTCTTTGCAGCAACGAGCTGCGAACCATGAACCCTCGAATTTATAATCCGAGCACGACTATCGCTAAGTCATATTCGTCCTAATCATTTAGAAATAATTTATTTATATTTCTTTTAAAATCACCTTTTATAAATAAAGTATTGCGTTAAAATATATAATGTCTAATTTAGCGAAGCATGATACATCTCAGTAATATAGTTCATAACTTAATAACATCATTTTTTATTGCCCCAATTCGGGTTTCCAGTAAGAAAAGGGCATAATGGTATTTGAACTCCACTTGTTTGACGCTGATGAAATTGTAAGGAATTAAGTAAAATAGCTTTTTTTCTCTTCTCAACTCAGTTTTTACCATACAGATTATCGTATACAGTACTTACTTTTTTGTCACGAATTTTTTTTCAAAATGAACAACTTGACTTCAAAGTTATATGGCTGAGCATGACCTAGTGATAGGCGTGTCTAGACTACGAATCCTCAGATTCGTGGTTCGCAGCCCATTGCTACAAAATAAAATGTACATCAAGTCCATGAGTGCGCTATAACACTGACGGTGAAATCCATTATTCGATCGGACAAGAGTAATTGGTTGAAAACAAATACTTACCTTTAAAAAGATGTTTTACTGTATAGGGACAAAAAATACATCATTACTTTCCGGTACCCCTAATACACTTTAATCACAATAAAGCTGTAAGTACAAACATGAAACTAAAAATTATACATAAGAAAAGAATGAAGGTGTAAAGGGTAAAACAATATGTGTGTAAACTAAGAGTGTTTCTAAAGTATTTTCTCTCTCCCTAGACATGACTAGAGAGTGAGGAGAGAGAGAGTGACTTAGAAATTTCGGAAACGCATGTAAATTGGCTACCATTTCCCCTCGAATGTTGTAGTTGTTGTAAAATTATCATACTAACCGTATTTATAAAATATCTTCTAAAGGTGTTAGGTAATTTCAAGGGTATGTAAACACTCTTACCATTCATGCAATTAGAACCCAATATTTCGAATAAGACAAAATATTTAAAATAGCAACGGTTTTCCAAACTATACCCCAAGATAATCTGAAACAAGTGGTCCTACCGATCCAGGATAAGATCTTGCAAAGGTGTTGAACATACGCACTTTTATTGTTAACAAGACGATAAACAATATTTTGATATTCAGATATATTCCGGGTAACACCTCGAAATCAATGACAAGTTTCACCAGAAAGATGGTAGAAAAATTGCATTTGCAGCCACCCTCTTCGACTACGTACTTGACAAATCCCCTGATGCTGCTTCAATAGACTCTTGTGTCTTTATTTGCATATGTAGTATAAGTGCGACTACGTACTTGACAAGTCCCCTGATGGTGCTTCAAGTTTCAATAGACTCTTGTGTCTTTTATTTGCATATGTAGTACAAGTGCGACTATGTACTTGACAAGTCCCCTGATGTTGCTTCAATAGACTCTTGTGTCTTTTGTTTGCATATGTAGTACAGTGCGACAAGTCCCCTAATGCTGCTTCAATAGATTCTTGTGTCTTTTATTTGCATATGTAGTATAAGTGCGACTATGTACTTGACAAGTCCCCTGATTCTGCTTCAAGCTTCAATAGACTCTTGTGTCTTTTATTTGCATATGTAGTATAAGTGCGACTATGTACTCGACATGTCCCTTGATGCTGCATCAATAGACTGTTGTGTCCTTTATTTGAATATGTAGTACAGTGCGACAAGTCCCCTAATGCTGCTTCAATAGATTCTTGTGTCTTTTAATTGCATATGTAGTATAAGTGCGACTACGTACTTGACAAGTCCCTTGATGCTGCATCAATAGACTGTTGTGTCCTTTATTTGAATATGTAGTATAAGTGCGACTTTATAGTCGACGAACTAAGAGGAGGGACAAAATATTCACACGGATGTTCTCCAAAGAACCTGATCTCATGAAAAGGTCGCTCCAAGGCCAATGTTAAGGGGGGGGGGGAGAGCACGTAGAGCGTGAACGCCAAGAAAAATAGTCTTCATTAATTGTGTCGAACTTAATCTTCGTTTCCAAAAAATGAAAATCACATACCATAGTCTACTGTATTGCAGGGGTTCATAGAAGTGGTAGTTAATTTTAACTCAACTAGGGTAGAACTGTAGTTTTTAACTTTTAATACCCTATTATATTCATTCATTGCTAACATAAGTTTTACAACATAATTCACTTTTTTTATTTACTGAAGTCGGTTGTAATGCAACAATTCATATGTGTTCTCTCTCTCTCAAACATCGAATATTACAGCTGCTTTTCATTTGTTTATATATATTCTACCAGATTTCAAACTTTTGTTTAGTTTTCTTCAAACAAATATCAAATGCTTGCGTTAGATTTGGGTTTTACTTTTTTATCCTAAACTAATTGCACATCAAATTTGTAACTTTTTTTTAATCAGGCAATATCGTAAGAAAGTTAATGGAAAAAAGAAACGTTTAAAAACTTGATATAAGCAGGACAGTGATTAAAGTAAATCTCCATTCAGAATTATTAGATTGAGGTCAAAGGATGTTACAGTTGAAACATCGTGATAAATTTATCCAAACACTTACGACAGAGTGGAACAGTTCATAATATTATTTTACCTTGTACTGCCATCCATTTCTCGGCTGCTGCTGTCTTGAAGAACGGCGCGTCAGCTGAGACTTCACAGCGAAACTTTCCACCTGTCTCAGCTTGGACATTTTGAATGCAGATGGTCTGCTTATTGGACTTAGCGAACTGGAACGAATATTCATTTGATTAAAAGACAAATATAATTAATTGTATAATGACTCAATGATTTCACCTATAAGTTCTATGAGTTCTAATTTCTTGTTTGCATCATTTTTCAATTTACAAATAAAAAGTATCAATTGGAACAAATAACATCACACATTTATTTTAATCAAATAAAATAATTCATTACATTTTCATAAAAAATGAATTCAAAATTATTATCAAATTGAATATTCAAATGCAAGTTAGTTCTTTAAATGTTAAAATTCGTTCTCACTTTAAGCTACAGTGAAAAATTTGCACAATCTCCAGAGCAATTAGAGGTGTACGACAAAATGCTAAACATAAATTTAATCATAACGTCTGTCTTTAAGGTCTCAACGATTCTGAATACACATTGCAAGAATTGAAACAAAAATACTGATACTTAAAGAAATATAACGTGGTATTATCTGGTAACGATTGAAGGTGGATTGATGACTTAAATGGATAAATAGAGAGAACTATGTTTCTGTATTAACTGTTCATCATATTTAGTGGTGTTCCAAATGCAACGTTCTTTATAAATGAAAATCGTGATTTGATATTAATTGAGCATAGAAAATACCAAACAATTTAGATCTTAGAAAACAAAAGGAAATATCTACTTGAATAATATGCAACGAAATATAATATATTTTGAACTTACTTATAGACTTTGCTCTTTGTTAAGATATCATTCTTTTACGCACCAAAATATTTAAATAACATTCATTTTCATTGATTTATTAGCCTAAATGTATTTTTAAGTTCACGAAATTTCTATGGATTGGATTTATATTTTGAATTCTAAATCCTATGAAATTGAACTATTCGTTTGCTATCTAAAATTCCTAGATATAGAGTGTCATCTTTTAGTTCCAGGGAATTCATCACATAAAGATCAGTTTATTTCAGTACCAGAGATTCATAGATACAACGACGCTTTTTTCAGCACCCATGATTTCTCGTCATAAAAGCCTTCCTTTGCATCTCCGAGGAATTCAGAGATAAAGATCCTTTTTTCCCTTCCCGATATTTCAAAATAACTCCTTATTTAGTTCTTGAAATTGCAAGAGATGGAGAACCTTATTTGCTTGAGATGCCTAGAGAAGGATATCCTTCTTTCAGTTCTACTTTTTCCCAGATATGAATTCCATCATTTAGTTTCTATGATTTCTGCAAACAAATAACTTATTTTTTTCGGTTCTTAATGTTCCTAAAGATAAAAGCTGCTCTTCAAGTTCCAGTGATTCTTAGAGATGAAGACCAGCATTTTACTGTCGACGCTATTTAGATATTTCTTTCAAAATGACATTCTTTTAATTATTGGGATATCTTGAGAAGCAGATCTTTCTGCTAGTAAATATCAGATATTCCAGAGCTAAATATACTCCTTTCAGTTTCTAAAGACACAAAATTTACTATCTGTCAATTTCTGAAATTATTTGTGAAATATATACCAGTTTTGGTTTCCGCTATTCAAAGCAATATATTTTTTACGGTTAATGATATTCTAGGCTTAATGGTTTGTTTTTGTTTTGCTTCCTAATAAATCTAAGGAATAACCCACATAAATATCGTAGCGTTCTCCATATTTATTTTTTGTTATAGCTCTCACAAAAATAAAGATTTTTTTCTAAATATTGAAAACTTTGATCTATCTTCAAAGTTAATTCATACGAACAAATACGTTTCACATAATTATAGCAAACTTTTATATGACTCAACAATGAACGAAATTTGCGTAACTTACATCAACCTCGATCCCTTCCAGAGGAAAATATAGTTGTTGAGGCTTATCCCGTGGGACAAATCTAAAAAACTCCACGTCGTCTCGATACCATTTGACCGAATATAGTTTCTCCCCCTCTAGGTCGTAGAAGCAAGTCAGCTTTACTTCTCGGCCTCGTGGAACAGTCTCAGGCACATCAAGAGAGATGATTGTGAGAGAAAAGGAAGCTAAAAATATAAAATACAATTAAAATAGAAAGGAAAACAGAAATTGAAGATGATGGAAAAATGATATACAACGAAGGACGAAATGTGGTTTTTTTTTTTTAAAAAGAAGCAAAGCATAAGTTAAAAATGGAAAATAGAACATGAATAGAATAAAGACAAAAAATACGTTGAAAATAGAGTCCTTGTAAAACAACGTCATGAAACAGGTTCTAGAGACAAAGAAAGTTTGTTTGTATGAGAGAGAAGCCGCGTTGGGCCATCTGCAGGGAATCAAGCCCGGATTTTAGCATTAAAAGTCCATAAACTTACCTCTGTTCCGATGAGAGACAAAAATGCTACTACTTAATCTGATAATGTAAAAACTAATCTGGATATGTTAGGAATTTTGGTTTGAATAAGTAGCAGATTAAGAGTAATATAACTTTCGTAGTCGTACTAAAAATGCGGCTATACTGTATTTTTATGTATTTTAATAGATCAATAGCTGTGTTCATTGAAAACATTCTAACTTATATAATTATACATATACACATACATACTGCTCCCTTAACAATTATTGCATATAATTTCTCTCACGATTTCTTAATCAACAATGCCCGTAACTGAACAATCCGGGAGGCCTAGAAAGAGAATCAACAATGCCCGTAACTGAACAATCCGGGAGGCTTAGAAAAAGAATCAACAATGCCCGTAACTGAACAATCCAGGAAGCCTAGCAGAGATTGAAATCTCTGAAAATGCTATTTATTTTACTTTTCGAATACTTGTCAGTCATTATTTGTCTTAATTGTATTCAATTTAGATAAGCAGTAAAGAAGTACTATTTCAGACGTTTTCGATAATAATTTATTTAAAATTTTAAGTGATAACTTTAGTCACATCAATCTCCATTTAGTTTGTTTCCGAAAAGAAGACAAAAATCAACGATAAATATTTTAAACAATACTCTCAGCTAATAAATCGATATGTATCATACAAAACTATTTTATTGGGGTTACTGCTAAAAATATCATTAACAGTGAGGGTACCCAAATGATGAAACGATGCTTTATATATAAAAAAAATGTTTCGGTTTGAATTTTGGGCAAAGTTACACGAGGGCTATCTGCATTAGACGTCCCTACTTTCGAAGTGATAGACTAGAAGGAAGGCAGCTAGTCAACACCACCCACCGCCAACTCTTGAGCTGCTCTTTTACCAACAAATAATGGAACTGACCGTCACATTATAACGCCACCACGACTGAAAGAGCAAGCATGTTGAGAGGGGTTAAAACGCGTGACCCTCAGATTGTAAAACTAGCGTTATGTTATAATAAGTAAGTAAGTAAGGTATATCATAGAGTCAGTAAACTCTATATGTAGAGATGGCCAAGGTACTCAATAGGCTTAATTCAAATATGCACGCTAAAATCAACAGTGATAGAGAGTTTTACTTTAAAAGATGATTGCCACTCACTTTCATTTGTTTTTTACCCAACAAGCCCAAAAACAAGGCAAGGAATCATCGTTAAGATACCAAACCAGAAAGTGACCAACCCACCAAATTAGTCATCTTTCTTCTTCTTGTTTCAGTCGATATAACTTTACAACTACTTTATCACTAACGTCAGTTTAGACCTAAATCCACTCTATGTGTTTCTGGGCAGTGTACGACGTCATCGCTTAGTCGTAATAACTAGTAGTAGTTCATAAAAAATCATAATTCTAGTGTAAACAATGTTACCATTACCCCTTGAATATTGTTTTTTTGTTTTTTTTACAGAAATTTGGTGTTCCCTTAAAAAGCTTAAGCTCAGGGTGAAACACGAATTACCAGCATATAATAGATGAATATTAGATTAATGTAACGTGTGGAATACTCAATGCTTTGTACGCTATACAATCGGTGTCTTTCGGGAGCCAACCACTAAATTATGTATGAAGTTAAGGAGTAAAAAAAAAAAACAATATACATAATATTAAATTATATTACACACATTCATAGAATACACTAATAATGATATAGGGATGGCAGTGCCAAAAAGAATACAAATAATAACATAGTACTGATAAAGCTTTACATAGATTATTCCTACATGACTTTCAATATTAAAATTTAATGTTACACTCTAAAATGCATACTTGAATTTAATATTACTGCAGTTGGTATGCAGTTTGTTTATCATAATATCATGGTCATGTCAGGGTAGGCATCAATGTAGTGTAGCTAAGAGACTAGAACTTACGTACAATTAAAACCAAGTTGAATCAAAACACGTCTTGATTATTACAGACTATTATTAAACTTTAATATTGAAAGTCATTAAGGAATGATCTATGTATAACTGTACCATCTCTATATTCTTGTTTGCATTCTTTTTGGCACTGCCATCCTTAGATCATTTTACATTTCCAAAATGGTTTAATAACTTGTTTAATTAGTTTTCGGTATTAATGATACCAGGTTCAATTTTAGTTTTGATCAAAGCAGGTTGTGCCTGTGGTTGGAAGTTAATATTAAGTAATAAATTAAAAAAACCAAATGTCTGTTTTCATTAAGCCACTTTATAGACGTTTAAACCTAATCTGTCTAAGCTCAAATGGCATTCATATGGCTCAAACATCAAGATGTTACATGGCTTTTTCTGAGTAATGAAGTTCCTTCTGTTAAATGATATTTCTTATATAAAGACTCGATTGCTTTGGTAAAAAAATACATTATCTTAACATCTGCAGCTACTGGTTTAATATATTTGAAAATTCTTTGCGTGAAAAAAAAGAGTAATCACATTTCCAAGATGAATCTTTTGTCAAGGTGAAAGATAATGTATTATTCAATATTCGTTGGTTTAATTATATTTTATCAGTGTTTAATTTCTTTTACTCTTCCTTTATTTTTTTTGTTCAATTTTATTCTGGTGTTCATTTGTCACCTGAGTTCTCTACACTGTAGGATCGTTTTTTTCTTTTCATTATTGCATTTTTGGCAAAGTTGTTAAGGCTGTTTCCCGCAAATTGTTGTTAAATACAAAGCTACACAATGGGCTAGCTGTGCTGTTCCGACGACGGGTATCGAAACCCGTCTTTTAGCGTTATAAGTCCACAGGCTTACCACTGAGCCACAACGGGTGTTTTAAAAATAAAAAACAAGCAAATGGTACTTATTACACTATTCCACAAGTGTGAAATGGCACATATAAATATAAATATATGAATAACAGAACATATTCTTTCATTACTTTTTACAGATTCTTACCACATTTGCTTATCATAGCTACCATTAAAATAAAATAGAAATTCTTACATCACGTGAAATGATTTTCGCTACCAAGCAATCAAATATCCCGAATTTGTTAACTGATTATTATTCCTTTTAGCCTCTTTGTGTGGTGTGTTTATTTTACACTAAATTGAACATTTTACTTGTTATTTACCTCCTTTGGAAAGACACGGAAGATTTAATATATTCACATAAAACAACTGTCACTGGATTTTTGTTTTGTCGAAAAACTTAAGTGATTATTCCTTTCATTTTTTTTTCTCGTTTGATAACGATATAACTTAAGCCTTAAAAAGGAATAAAGAGAGGGTAATCTATTTTATTTACCTCCAATATTACAAACAGTCAACAGTCTACATTGAATAATGTTTAATGTATTTTTGGTGTTGTTTTTATTTGACTCGCTCTGTAAAGTTGTCATATTATTTAACATTTTATTGCCTTCATCGACAACATAACAACACAAACACAATGAGAAGCTTGCTTTTGCCTACCAGGTAGTGATATTTTCATCTATCAACATAATTCACATGATAGCCGACTCAGATTAAGGTCTTTAAGTTACGTTACTGATAGGAAGACTTGATTTTTAATTTCGCAGACTCTCTGTATGGTATCTTACACTAAACACGTTCTTTTCAATTTTAAAATACCCAGATTTGTCTAACGTAAATACCACAGATTTTAAACAAACGACAACAATAAATAGAAGGATTTCATAGGTAATGTTGTTAAATACAAAACAAAAGGATTTCCACCAAAATATCATACAGTATCGAATTATTCTAAAATAGAATTACTTTCCCATGTAGCAAGCTTCATCATAATTTCCATGATATTATCCCATAAAGAAAAATAATATTTTGACATTTTCCTCTTTAAACAGAAGAAGGTAGTACTAAAGTCTACAAAAACAGTTTTTTGATATATTAGGTCGTCAAAAAATTAATGTCGCGTTTTTGAACACTTTCATTAGCCATCCCTTCAAGAACGTACATCACGTATAATAGTTGTAAATTCATGATTAATGAAATGTTATCTTAGGATATGAAAAGTTATTTCCGTTATATGTAATTGTAAAAAAAACGCCCATAAAAACTGCAAAACACAAAATATGAAACTGCAAATTTTCATGTATCTCCGCATGAACCCAAATAATCCTTCATGCCAAATTTAGTGAAGATCCATCAACAGGGGGCGAAGTAGTAGTGAAAAGAACAAAGACGCCTATAAAAACCGAAAACTATGTACCCAATGAACCCCCATACCATAAACGATGCTAATCCTTGAACACATCTCTTCAGCGCTTATTATAACCCTGAGCACTGCTTATAATTCCTGAGAACAACTCAAAAACGCTACTTAACGTTTCTGAACATAGCTTTTGAGCATTAATTATAATTTCTAAACACAACTGATAAACACTGTTTATAATTCCTGAATATTACTCTTTAGCACTGTTTATAACCCCTCAATATGGCTTTTCAGCACTGCATATAATTCTTGAACAACTTTTAAACATTACTTATAAGCACTGAACTCATAACTCTTCATCTCTGTTTATAAATCTTGAACACTACACATTTCTTGATTTAAAACAAAATCTAAAGTTATTTTAAGATGATAATTTTTGAATCTATGTCCACCCACTTCACTCTCAGTTTATGAGTTATAATGTTTTTTCAAAATGTCTATATCTGAAATTCGTTAGTCTATAGCAAACAATATTTCACCGAGAA